TGAGTGCTCCTACATCCCTGGTGCTCTCATGCAACTTTTTCCTTGTCTCCTCTCCTCCTTTTCTGAAAAAATGTTTGGGATAAAATTTTGGTTCCAGCAAAGGACACAGTAAACCCCACTTTGCCTCCGAGAGAGAGGAGACCCCAAAATTTGGGAGATGAGAGGCTCTAAGCCAAGAACCTCCTGTTTGAACAGACAAACAGGCAAGGGGTGTGGAGAGAGAGAAACAAAGGCACAGAGGGCTGATCTGTGCAAATCCTTATTAAGCAGGAGAGTACATAGGAATATGTTTAATTTTACTCCTAGTCAATAAAGTAAGAGGCTCTGCAAGCCAGATTGGATGAGCTGCTGTTCAGAAAAAATCATCACAAGAAACAAGGAGGAATAAGATGATGAAGCCAAATGCTGAGGGGAGAAAGGAGAGGAATGCATAGCAGAAAGTCTGTCACAAATACCCAGAAAACCTTGGTCCTGCAAAGGACATCAACAAGGATACAGCAAGTTAGAGGTTGCATGAAACAAAGGCTGCAAAACACTTGAGTCCAATTCAGAAGGATGCTGGTGGGGAAAAAAATCTCCACAGTGTTTATTACCCTGGTCTAGACCCATTAATTCTTATGTGATTCAGTTCAACACCCGCTTCCCTGGACCAAGCTCCACCTCCAAGATAACAAGTGTTCAGGAATTACCACGTCTAAACAGATATATAAAAGCTGGGCTTCTTTTCTGGGTCTCTTCTTGTCTTTGGGTGAAACTCTGCCCTGTTGATGTCAGTTGGAAACTGCTGTTGACTTTACTGGGAGCAAGGATTATATTGTCTTCTGGAGAAATACAAACAGTTACCTTCAGAGCCATTAACAGAAGAAGGAGAGAAATCTCTGGTCAATAATAAGCTAAGCCTAGGAAAATAAAAATGCAGTTCTCTGTCACCTTGGAAAGATCAACATCATTTGTCATGTGGTGTTTATTCAGCAGAACAACAACTGAATTTGTGCTTTTGAAGGGAAATGAAAGGGGAAAGTAGCAGGAGGGGGAATGGGGGAGATCTGAGCACAGGAATGTACTGCCACTCCAGCCTGCTATCATTAAACCACATCAGAACTTCATAATCATGGTGTTTAATTAAACAACAGAGGCATGGGTTTATGCATTAATAATGAGGCCTAGCACTTTAGCATGTCAGGCTAAATACAGTTTTAAATTAATAATGTAGCACCACGGCATTAGTGAGAAAATGAAATCTTATTAACAACTTAATAAAGTCCCTTATTTGCTAAAGTTCCAGCTCTGAGGGAACCGTATTATAGCAAAGCATTTGCATCCCTTAAGGGGGCAGATGGGAGGAGGTGCTGCTTTCTCACACCCTCCGTAATTCCATTATATATAGCTCCCATAGTCACTAAATATTGCCTGGTGTCTGCCAAATGATGCCTTATGGTGCTTCTAAACCTGGGTGTGACATGCTGGGTAATCTGCAGACACTCTTTTTAGACACCCAGGAAGGACATGCCTCCCTTTTTTCTGGAGAGCCTGCAGGGGATGGATGGAGTACTGCCCACCAGACCAGTGCTCTGCAGGCTTTTGTGGATGTTCCTCTCAGGGCCAGGACTGCAAACACTGCTCAGTTAAAGACAAGGCACTGAAGCACAGAGAGGAGCTGAGAGCATGAGGAATAACAGAAAACAATGATTTCCCCTGGCTTCCAGGGTTTGGAGCCATCAGCTGATCCCTCACAACAGCCTCTATAAGCATTCTGGAGATGCTCAGTTTAGGGTGTTTTATTTTCAGGACAGACTGAGGGTGTGCATGGTGAGGTATTCCAGCTCTGCTGATAGGAGCTACTATTGAAACTACAGAAGCTCCAGCAATTTATAACCAGGGTTTCACAAGCTTTTAGCTTCTTGATTCTCACTGATTCACAGACCTGGGCCACCTCAGGCACACAGTGAATTGGTAAAAGACTAAAGACTGGGGCCCCGTCTGCTCAGCCCTGCAGCAGAATCTGAAGTCCAAGGCCAGGTTTCCACTTGTTGATGTGTTTGACACAGATTTACCTACCAAATTCCCTTAAACCCAGAGAAACAGCTCAGTATCTCTGTCATCCAAGTGCTGGGTCTTCCTCCACAGGCTTAAAGTTCCATCTGAGCTGGCTTTGCTGAGGAAACAAAGAACAGGCTGCAGGGCCATAATGAAATGAGTGATGGGGGGACAAGATCCAAAGTCAATGAGCTGACTTGAAATAGCTGAGCATCAAGGCCATGGAGAACTGACAGCAGCAAAGCCACAACCAGCCACAGCCACGGCCACAAAATTCAAGAGAGATCATTAAAAAAGATTAATAGAGACAGGAGCAGACATGGTATATCCAGCTATGAGTCTATCAAAGAAGGGTATCTTTGGGATATAAAACACTGATCAGACTTCTTGTGCAGCTTGAAAATTATTGAATTAGGATGGAAATCAGCCAGCAACATCACTGACTGTTGAAGACAGGATTGGAGAAAAGCAGTGGGTCAAATCCTATCTTTGGTTGTGCTCATGACACCATAGAGCTATTTCCTGTTCCTTCCCCTTCTGTCTGCATTCCCTAATTTTCTTCTGAATTTGTTGGACAATAAGTAACCTCTTAGAGTGCTGGAAGAGCATATGAATGATTTGGGTAAGACCCTAACAATTCCCCTTCTCATGATTACAAGTCGCCTGAAAAGGAATGGCCTTCCATATTCCATAGAAGAAATTCCATTTCAAATTTAATTTGCATTTTCCATTATCCCATATCTTGCTACAGAAAAAAAAAATACTGATCTTGCAAGAAATTGGACATGGGATTCTCATTGTGCCCTTTTTTTGTCTCAGTTAGTGCCCAGTTTGATGGAATGAGGAATGATCAGTGGAGCAGATTTCCTTGTGTGCACTGGGAGCCCTGACCTGCATGCAGAACCTGCTCATCCATTCACCTCCTCCTGCAGACACCCAGGGAATGTGGGTTCCACTTGGAAACCACAGAGTTCATGGCAAGAAGCAGCTTATGCACTCTTAGTGCAAATGAAACGTCTAGGACATAAAAATCACCTTGGTGTGCCTTGTCTTCCATCTCTGTTAAATTATAAATAGAAACCTAATGGAACTGAGCATGACTGCAGGATGCAGTGCAAGTGAAGGCAGAGCAGACCTGTGTGCTCCCTCTTACTTCATCATCAGTGAGTAAATGGGTCACTGGTGAATGAAATCTAAGTAAATCTCCATCCCTTTTTTATTCTGTCTTTATCCTCAACCTACTGCAATGAGATATAGCTCAAAATCACACACCCCTGCTACACAACACTAAATAGAAACATTACAAATTATCTCATCAAACCGCCTTATGTTTCTACTCTGAGTTCAAGAAAACTTCAGCAAATAAAGTTTTTCATTCTAGAAATCCTTCATTTGGTTTTTAATTGTGCAGTGGGATGTCTTGGGATCTGGTCTTTTTCTCCCCCTTTTTTAAAATTTTCTATTTATTAATATTTAATCTCTGCACAGTGCAGAGGAAAATCATTTCTGCAATAACATCAGAATGGGAGGGTTAGAAATCAATAGCCAAGCTCTCACAAGACACATTCAATCCCTTCTTAATCCATTTTCAACTGCTCCCTTGCCTTATTAGAACAGCCAAGTTTTCCCTCACTCATTAGGTTGGGATATTCACATTGCAGGAGGGAACTGAAAGCTCCCAGAGAAGCACAAACCTCTGGAAATGCAGGAAAGAGAACAAAGCATTTTTGTTTGGGGCAGAAACCTGGATATCATGCTGTACCCAAAACCCTGCTTTAAAAACTTTCTGATTGACAGCCTGTCCCCATTTCCCTGAATTGTGGCACATCCTGCATCCACTGGCAGCCCCGAGCCACTGGAACATCTTTCCCTTTTTGATTTCCTTCAGGGCCATCTGTCACACCCAGCTCTCCCAAGCACCTCAAGCATCACCTCCTCTTCTCCTGGATCAGTTCTGCAGAGGTGTGAGAGCCAAACAAGCACTGTCAGTGGGAGAAGCCAGAAAGTCAGTGAGCAGGAGAATCCCCTTCACCTTAGTGCCTCAAAGGTTCCAGTATATGACAACATGGGCTTGTTTTGTGGGCTTGAGCACAGACACCAAACCCATGGCTGCCAGTCCGACCATGGACCACCTTGGCCAAGCCACACCATGACTACACAGAGCTTTCATCTCTGAACAGCCAGCCCACGCCTTCCTTCTGCACCCTGCTGCTTCCATCAACACTTTCTTCTTGGCAAACCAAACACCTTCCCATGGGTATCCTGCAGTCCCCAGCTTCCCCCAGCACTCGGTTTTATTTCATTGAAGGAAGGCAACACCTTTGCTTGCACTCCAAGGGGGTAGCTGGGGTCCCTGTCACTGCCTTCTCTTCAGCAGTTCTCTTCAGCAGTTCTGGGATGAAGTTCTGCATAAGAGAATTCAAGCTTTCCCTCAAAACACCTGCTGACTCCTCTCTGTGCAGGGCTCAGTAGCTGTACATCCTTTCCCTCAGCAGAAGCAATAATGAGGGCTGTTCAGTTCTTAGAGGGTATAGCCAGAGCTAAGGATCGTTCATGCACTTCTGGCTGCCATGAAGAACTTTGTCCTCATGCTGGTGGTCTCAGGAGACCGGGTAGGAGGAACAGGAGAAGGAGACTGGGACAGGAGCAGCAAGAGCTGCTTTAAACATCCTGTATCCTTCTGCTAGACTGAAGCAGAGCCAGATGGGGAAGAGAGGATGATGTGCCCTTGTTCTCCTCGGGGCAGGGGCTCCTGTGACCTCCCCGGCAGCACATCCGAGGCTGGCTGGGGGTGCCTGTCCCTCCTGCCCAGCCCTGCGAGCCCTTCCCTGCGGCACCCTCCCAGCCCGGCTCATGCAGGAAGAGACTTTGCCAGCAGAGGGAACTGCAGACCGGATAATCGCTCCTTCCCCGCTGAAACACTCACCAAAACCCGTAGCCACGCTGAGTCTCTCCTCACTTACCTGGGAAAGATGTTTCAGACTCCTCTGCCGCTGCTCTTGACCAACTTGCTGCTGGTTGGTTTGGTTGTTGAGAGCTTTCTGTCTAAGGGGACAGCTAAAGAAATCCATTCAAGTAACAAACCAATTGAAAACTCTCTGTTTACTGTATTTTTTAAAAAAATAATACTAATCCTGCAAATCCCTATAGCTATCTTCTTGCTGCCATCTAGTGAAGGGGAAAAAGTATGACTTGAGTGACATAAGCAGAGCAAAACCTATCCCAGAGGCTTGTACTTGTTAAACAAACTCTAACTTTGAATAAACTGTTTCAAAACAAGCTTTAAAGTTGCATGAAGATTTCCCTTTTGCAAGTCTCCTTCATCAAATGCCCTCCTAGGTCCTTGAATGGACGACTGCTGGTGAAAGCCTGACTTTGTCATCACTTTGAAGAATAATCCAAGTGACCATTTTGTTGTACTGAAACTCTTCATACTGCTCTTAAAAGCTGTAGGAATTGTGGTGGTCCTTGCAGGATCAGTAATGGAAGCTTTCACTGCCTTTTATATCACCATGAATGCACAATTACTGCAAGAGGACCACAAGCACAAGTTCTACAGACACCTAATTTCTCAGGCAAGGTTTTATCAGCAGAATCAAACTCCTTGTTAGGACCTAAGTGAGCTGCAGGACTGAGAATAGGAGTCTTATATTCAGAGTGCTGTGCCTCAGCCATAAGATATTCCTTCCCTTGGATAAAATTGGTACGTTCCTGCATGTCTCAGGAATTTTTGGGAGGAAAGCCTCAGCTGTGTGATAGACAAGTGACAAACAGGGAGTCAGCAGAAACACAAACACTTCAGCAGCTCCAGTTCCTGACATGCTTCCATGACCTCTGGCCAGTCCAGACCTGTGTTTTTGGCACACACCTGCCAGAGTGAGCTCTGCCTGCTTTCCCCACCTTGAGTTTTTATCTCTGCCCACCAGACAGCCAGACCTAGCACAGTATTGCCACTGCTTGTGCTTTTCCTACACAGATCTTTCTTGCTGGTTTCCTGCTGTTACACACAGGGGATGAAATATTCACCCACCACTTCCAGCAGTTCCCGGGAGCTTCCAGCAGAGCAACTCCGCTCATCCCACCACCTTCTGTACCCACAGAAAATGATCCAGGCACACATTTTAATGCTTGAACACCTCTTTGCTTTCCACCCTCCTCGTGTTTGTCTGGATAGAAGATCCAAACTCTGCCGTGCTTGCAGCAGTGGGCAGGGCTGTATTTCCCGGTATCCACAGCACAGGAGTGGGATCGCACCGAGACCCCAGCGCGCTCCTGCCTCTCACTGAGCCACTCAGCCTCGGGGGTCGCCTCGGAATTTGCAGCGCTTTGCCCTCCTCTGGCTCGACGCCGAGGACCGGGTGGGTGCCGGGGG